ATGGAAGAAGGGACCACAAGCTAAAGACGGCTAAGAAATGTGAGAAAGCAGGAAACCGATTTTCCCCTAGAGCTTCCAGAAGGAATGCAGTTCTGCTGGCAACTTAATGTAGTTCAAGGCGATTCGTTTCAAATTTCTAACCTCCAGAATTCCAGGCATATAAGGTTTTAAGATGATAAATAGGTGTTGCGATAAGCCACTAAATCTGTGGTAATTTACTACAAGAGCAATAGGAAACAAACGATGCCATATTCACAAGGCAGGTGTTCCAGGTATGGCTGCAGACTTCTCAGTGGGCCTAACACTTACCTGACCGGTGAGCCCAGGTATCCCTAGCCAGTCAGCAAAACTCAGAGACTTGACTTTCCTATCATAAGACAGAGGCAGTTTTTGATCCTCTGGCTTTGAGGAACTACCCTATTTCTACTACCTGAAACCCAGTCACCCAGAGCCTAGACCTGTGACTGATGGGTTCCCTGTTTGGCAGTACCACTTTTCCAGTTAGAGTTCAATCTCTGGTTCCATATTTCTCAGTTCTTTTTTTTTTTTTAATACCTCAAAACAACAAATAACTCAAACTCAAACAAAAATGCAATGTGAATGTTTCCTGAACCCATGTTTCTTGCAGTCTACTACGTGTCTCTCTTCTTCTTTACAGTTGGACAATACCAGTCATGCTCATGATCTCATTTGCCTTCCTTCCCCATTCCCACTCATTCTCGGGTCCTGCAAACTATATTGTCTCAAACACTCCACCAGAGGTTCACTAGTGCTCGTCGTTAGTCTACCAGTTAATGCCAATGAATAATTCTCAGTTATTATTTATTTTTAGATTGGCAAATACAGTTTATTTAGAAAGCAAATGAGAGAGAGAGAGAGAGAGAGAGAGAGAGAGAGAGAGGAGATTCACCTCCCCAAGGGAGGGGAGGGGGCCAAAGTTTCTCAGTCTTGATTGAACTTGACACATCTACAGCTTTGGACAACCCTGGTTGTGCTGTCCTTCCTGAAACTCTTTCAGCGCGTGGCAACCAGGGGACCACATTTTTCTGTTTTTTCATGTGTATTTTTGCCTACTCTTTCTCTTGTAGGCATGACTTTGAAGCGAGTGCTCCTCTAGTTCCTTCTATTTCCGCTCTGCACACTCTAATCCAGTCAACAAACATGGAGTATCTGAGATATCCTAGGCATAATGGCAGGCATGCACCAGGCAATCACATTTATTTCTATGAGTCAAAAACAACAGAATGTGAAGAATCCCAAATGATTGTCTCTGGCACATATTTTTTTCCTGAGCTGAAAACTTACAGATTAAAATACCTGCTAAAGAATTCCAGTTTTATGTTCTTCCAGCCAGTCCAAACCTAACCCATCATATTTCCCTCCCAAATATACTTTCTCCTACATGCTGTATCTTGCTTATTGACAAGTTAAAACCCTGAGAACCATCCTTGACTCCTGCTTCCAACATGCAGCCCTGAAGCCCTGCATCCTTTTAGTCCTTATATTGTAGATTTCATATTTCAGAAAAAATATGGAAGCATAGTTACTGAATAAGAGTGGGGTGAGATTAAGTGAGGTCTGAGAATTTAAAGAGAAGATAAGATAGCGGTACCAAGAAGAATTTGGTAGATGATCACTGAATAATTGTTTTCATGTCACACCTCTAAAATAAATTCTTGTGGCCAGGCTCAGTGGCTCAGTCTGTCATCCCAGCACTTTGGGAGCCAAGGTGAATGGATTGCCTGAGCCCATGGGTTCGAGACCAGTCCGGACAACTTGGTGAAACCTCATTTCTACAATAAATCAAAAGTTAGCCAGGCCTGGTAGTGCATGCCTATAGTTCCAGTTACTTGGAAGGTTGAGGCAGAAGGATTGCCGGAGCCCAGCAGATCAACTCTGGGGTGGCCGTGAGAGTGCCACTGCACTCTGGCCTGGGCAATGGAGTGAGACTCTAACACCCCCAAATATATATATATATATCCTTCTACATTTATTCCAATATATTTTAAATATCTCTATCCTAAATGGTAAATCGTAATTCTGTTTCCAAGTCCTGAATGTACTGTCATGGAGGAAAGAAGTCTGTGCCACTTCCTAGTTAGTGCTGTATATGACCAAAGGTAACTATTTTTCCCAGACCCAAAATCCTTTTTGTGGAGCATTAGTCCTGAATCTCTCACCATAATTCCCTCAAGCCCTGTTAATATTGCGAGATCAAACCTCTGTGTCAAGAAAGGCTCTCAGCTCCCACACCCTCCCATCTGGAAGTTTTGTAACTACCTCCCTGTGAGGTATTCTTTGCTTCGTCATTGAGCTACTATTACAAAGACATGACTTAATATTTGAAATTAAATTGGCAGGGTTGTTCCATGGGCTGGTGACTAGGGCAGCAGTACAGGGTCCTCCTATGAATGTTTCACGCCTGCAGTTGTCATCTTGAATTTCTTAATAATTTTATCTTTGAATGTGTGTTTTGTCAAGTGAAGGGGCAATGGAGCATGGGCTGGGTGCCTGGAACTTTGGCTCCCCTGTGGTCCTGCATTGCACCTGGATCCCACCTAACTGGGGAGAGTTCTCAGCTACCTGCTCCAGCACTGCGGGCCCTGTCCAACCTCCTCCTCCTGACACTGACCAATGACCACTGCCATCCTCTTCCATTCCTGCAGAGGGCTGGATGCAACACGGGGAGAGGTTGCTGTCAGTCATACACTGTGCAGTCTCAGGCTGGGCAGAGGCTGTTGTTTCTCATCTTAGGCTGGTAGAGCCTCAGCACATTCAATGAGCTATTCAGTAGAGCCCAAGCTTCCTATCATTTCTACTCCAAGTATCTCAAGTATTGAGAGCTTTCTGGTATGCAGGCTGCAATCACTTGAAGTCCCCATCTGCCTTGAATTGAGGTGGCAGAACTGTGAGAAGGGCACATGCCTGGCTCAGCTCCCTTGCCCCACCCTGGCTGTGGTATATTGGTTCAGTGGCAGGCAGGAAGGTCGTCTGGCAGAGTGGGCCACGTGCACTCCACTCTGCCCGTTTAGCCATGCTGAGTCACAGGGCGAGGCAAGCAGACACCTTGGGAGAGTTTTCACTCTCCCTGAAAGTACCTCTGGGTCCCTGAGAGTGGACCTTACATAGCAAATGTCAAACATCATGATAGGTCAAAAGAGATTGTAAAAGAAAGAAAAAAACTTTCTACTCCAGTACCTTTAATGATGATGTCATTTCCATATTTTTTTTTACAAGGATCTCTACATTTTTATTTTGTGCAGGGCCCTGAAAATTATGTAGACAGTCTTATAAATAAGGACTAGATAATATTATTGTTAAATACTGAACTAGTCTCTTTCAGATAAGTGGAACTTAAAGAACTATCTTAAATTATAAAAATCATAGGGCGGGCGCAGTGGCTCACTCCTATAATCCCAGCAATTTGGGAGGCTGAGGTGAAAGGATTGCTTGAGCCTACGGGTTCAAGACCAGCCTGGGCAATACAGCGAGACCTCATTTCCACAATAAATCAAAAAAATTAGCTGGGTGTGGTGGCGTGTGCCTGTAGTTTCAGCTACTTGGAAAGTTGAGGCAGAAGGATCAACTGAGCCCAGTAGGTCGAGGCTGCGGTGGCCATGAGGGTGCCCCAATGCACTCCAGCCTGGGTGACAGAGTGAAACTCCTATTCAGAAAAAAAATCATAATTATTTCTACAAGTAGCAAAGCTCTGAGAAACATGCTTTATGGAAGAACTTATTATAATTATGAAAGGTAAGTTTTCTTTCATAATTCACACCTTACACTGTAAGAATTTCTTGTAAAGAATTATACTGGATGAGGTTAATTGGCTGACTTCCTATTAATAAAACGTCCTAGGGGAGCGAAGCCTATTAAAATGTGACTTTTCAAATGTGTAATTATATTATACCTTACTATGATAATCTTTTGCAAGGAAGAGCTTCACAGATGTAAAGAGCCAGGTATTCAAATTAAATTTTTCAGTTTTCAGTGAATATGATTTCTGGGCTGTGAGAATTCATAGTAGATTTGCTTGGGGTTAACAATGAGGTTTAGACATGGTTACAGTAATAATTATGTGATTAAAGACAGAATGTTAAACCCCAAATTCTAAATCCGAGAGACCACCAAAGAGCCAGCTCCGATGCAAACACACAAGGGTCTTTATTCAGGCTTGAGTCTGGGCTCACAAACTGAAACCGACACAGCAGCTCGAGCTTGAGAGCCCTGATCCAGTATAGCAAGCAGTTTTTATGCACAATTACAGAGGGAGGGGCTGGGCATGACTGGTTTTTCCTAGGCTTGCAACATTAATCAATCAAAAGAGGTCATGACGTAGAAACCGAAGTCGGCGGACATTGCATTATTAGTCCCCAATCAGGTTTGCGGTGATGTCACGGGACAGGGGTGCCTGAGATTGGTTGGTTTGTTTTTGGTTTGCGCGGGCTCGAGCTCAGTTGCCTGTGATTGACGGGAAATGGCTAAACGGGCAGAGTGGAATGCCAGATAAGCTAGGTTTACACAGTCACTTCGCGTAAATTAACTTTGGCATGTGAGCAGGAGGTTTGAAACAACACCGAGTTTACCAGGAGAGTGGCTGGCGCCACAGAGCCTACCATAATTCAAGCAAAGGAATGTCCGGGAGGGGCTTATTGCTTAACATTCACACCCTGCTAGCAGCAGTGGACAAACCAAAACTAAACTTAACAAAGTTCTAAGTACAAACACTGCAAACAAATACAGTGAACGTGAGGTAGGAATTCATATAGTAATAGTTCTTTTTGAGGTTTTTTTTGAGTCTCTCAAGAAAGAATGATGTTTTGAGCTTTTGAATTTCTTTTAATTTTTCTTTATAATTAGAATGGAAAAATAATATGAGGCAAGATTTGAAAGCAATACTCAGATATGCAGATTGATTTTTCTTTAATTTTCAGAATTCAAGATTATTATTCCTTACCACAAAGGAGAAACAGAAATAGCAGGCATCAGACAGCAGAGTCATGATCAGCAACTTTTCCCAACCTATTGTGCAGCTTTGCTATGAGGATGTGAATGGATCTTGTGTTAAAACCCCCTACCCGCCTGGGTCTTGGGTGATTCTGTACTCAGCGTTCAACTTTGGATGGTTGCTGGCTATATTTGGAAACCTCTTAGGGATGACTTCAGTTCTTCATTTCAAGCAGCTGCACTCTCTGACCAATTTCTTGATTGCCTCTCTGGCCTGTGCTGACTCTTTGGTGGGTGTGACTGTGATGCCCTTCAGCGTGGTCAGATCTGTGGAGAGCTGTTGGTACTTTGGAGCCAAATTTTGTACCCTTCACAGCTGCTGTGATGTGGCATTTTGTTACTCCTCTGTGTTCCACTTGTGCTTCATCTCCATCGACAGGTATATCGCGGTCACCGACCCTCTATTCTATCCCACCAAGTTCACGGTGTCTGTGTCAGAAATGTGCATCAGTGTGTCCTGAATCCTGCCTCTCATGTACAGCAGTGCTGTGTTCTACACAGGTGCCAATGATGATGGAATGGAGGAATTAGTAAGTGCTCTCAACTGTGTAGGTGTCTGTCAAATTGCTGTAAATCAAGACTGGTGTTGATAGATTTTCTGTTATTCTTTATACCTACCCTTGTTATGATAATTCTCTATGGTAAGATATTTCTTGTGGCTAGACAGCAGGCTAGAAAGATAGAAAACACTAGTAACAAAACAGAATCATCCTCAGAGAGTTGCAAAGCCAGAGTGGCCAAGAGAGAGAGAAAAGCAGCTAAAACCCTGGGAGTCATGGTGGTAGCATTTATGATTTTGTGGTTACCATATACAATTGATACATTAATTGATGCTTTCATGGGCTTCATAACCCCTGCCTATATCTATGAAATTTGCTGTTGGGGTGCTTATTATAACTCAGCCATGAATCCTTTGATTTATGCTCTGTTTTATCCTTGGTTTAGGAAGGCCATAAAACTTATTCTAAGTGGGGAAGTTTTAAAAGATAGTTCAAGTATTACTTTATTTCCAGAATAGCTGTAAGCGCTAAGTAGTGAAAATTAAGGATATTTTCAAAATTATGAATTTAAAATGAAATTAAATATAAGAAATAAATAAAGCCTTTCAAAATTAGGGAAATATGTTTCAAGTTAATTGGGGAAAAAGGTCGCAGGAAGTTTAAACCATTAAGCCATTGTTGAGATATTTAGTACATTAAATAATAAATGATAAAGTGTTTCACATATATAACCTGTCTCGGTGTTTTATTTCGTGCCTGCTGCATGCACTTTTTTCCCTCAGTTTTCTAAATTCTGATTCTCATTTCTGGATGTGAAGTTTGTTTCTTCTCTTTTATGCTCAACTCTCATTATCTGAAATAGCTATTTTTTACCTATCTCTTGTGACACTGTGTTACTTTGCTAGGGCTGCAATAGTAAAGTATTTGAAAGGATAAACCGAGGCAATGTGGGCCAGTGCGGATGCCAATGCCGATGCCGCAGGAATAATGCAAGATTGCAACAAGGAAGAAAGAAGAAAGTAGTAAAGTTTATTATTCACTTTTCACAGATTGGAAAAGGGGCCTAAGGGCCAAGAACTGATCACATTTAGGGGCCTAGGGAAAAGGGAATTTAGGCCGGGAGGAATATTCAGGGCTGCAGGTTTTGATGGTAATTGTAGCCACACAGGTCTTAGCTCTTGACATCGCCAGATGTTAGCATCTCATGCCTTCGGGTGGTGGGCTAGATGGGAGGAGACAAGGGCTTTTCCTGCAAAAGACAAGTCAGAGGTTCGCAATCCACAAGCACCTTTAGCAAAAAGGTAATCTTATTATTTCTATGGCTTCAGTTAGCTAAGGGGAGATCTTTGACCTTCGGCTTTCCACAAGGAACCTGAAAGTTTCCTAGAGATTATTATGCTAAACCATGAATTGAAAGGTCGGGCTGCCCTTGTCTTGCATGTTATGGAGATTTGCCAAGGGGCTGCCAGCTTGGCCTGCAGTAGAATGTCTGAAAGCTTCCTAAAACCTGACTATTGAAAATTTATCTGTCTATGTCAAACCTGTGCTAGATTCAAAGCATGTCAGTCAAAGCACAAATGGTTATGCTGAGGCAAAATGTGAGCTAAGTTTATTCTAAGTTTCTCGGGGTCCCACCTTTCACATTTCTTGAGTTTTTCTGACATAAGAACAATGTGTATTTCACTTCCTAGAATGTTGCAGCATGAAGAATTTTTATGCTAATATTGCAAAAAGTATATTAAAAAGAGGATAAGCAATGCATACTATAATTTTATATTTTGCATCCTGGAATATTTTGCACTCTTGAGTTAATAAAAGTCATTTAAGAATGCATAGAATGTTTTGTAAAATGAAATTAAATTGTAATAAGGTAGTGGAATACAAACCTTTTTCTTTTTTCTTATGTTTACCTAATTAAAATTATTCAAGTACTTTGTTTCTCATTCATTTCCAACAAGTCTTTTAATCCTTTCAAATAAACTTTGAGCATGAATTATGTGTAAGTACTTCTGTCAGAAATGGCTAAGGTTTGAAAATGTATTATATGTCGTATTTTTCACTAAGAAAATAATCATGAGGGTAATACGGACAACATATTTTAAGTTATATTATTGTGGGTCAAAAAAGTGTCAGGGATGCTGAGTCCTGGGAGCAGAGGACCAATGACCTGTAACATTGTTATCTCACCTACGTGTGCCCCATGCCCTTGGGCATTAAAAAAGGAGTTAAAGGAGATTTTATTTTTTAATAGAAAGGGCTTTGATGGGTCTTCAAGCATGTTTGGACTTGCACACGTAGACAGGAGTCTGGAAATCTTTTGTTGCCAGTAGGATTAATTTCCATAAGTGAAGGATTGGGCTTGACAAATTGGAATGCAATGAGTAGATTAGCAGCATGATAACAATCAATAAATACAGTTTCATGCTATCACTTAGCTATACTCACTAGATCAGCCTAGTTGTGGTAAAGAAAATATATCATGCCTCCTATTTTTACAGTATAGAGTACAAATAGAAGAAATTATGTGAAAGTGTTAGCTAGTAGTCTCATTCAGTAAATATCCTATAGAGTTGCACTGTTGCCAAATTAAATTATAGGTAATGAATGTGACATAAGTTCAAAGTAAATGAAACATTTTTGAAATTGATCCTGTGGGTAAGCAAAATATTATTTGGCTATAAATGATGTGGTAACCTCCAGTATAATTCTAAACATGCAGTTTCTTTTGAACATGTAGTAGATATATGGGACTTCATAAAGGAGAGAGAAGATAGGTGATTAGAGTCTCTCACATCCTTCATAATAGTCTTTCCTAAATATGACTACCTCCGATATGCTGGTCACAGCCTTCTGACTGTGCAAGCATATAATGCCTTTGTTGGTCCCACATAATAACCTCCCTGGTCATATGTGAATGAGTTAGAGTTGGACAAACGATTCTAGGAAAAACTCATCAATAGTTTTGGTTAAGTTCACCACATTATCACTCACAAGAATGTGAACTAAGACACAAAATCATGGTAATACTGAACATTAGGATAAAGACTACTATATCTCATCTAAGTTTTATTTCTCTGAGTTCTGATTGCTCATTGTTTCTTTCATTAATTAGTAATGATATATTTAGCATCAATATTCAGCACAAACTTAGAAGTAAAACATTAGAAGACTTCTTTTTAGGGTCTAGCTAAAGACAAGATGCTCTAATATTTTTACGTTGTACAAACATTGTTTTAGAAGTACTGGCTAATATAACTAGATGAGAAAAAGAATATATTCAAAAATATTATTATTTTCAGATGGTATGACTGAAAATAAATTTGTCTAAGTCTGCCTTGTTACCATTGAGAACTAGTACCCCTACATCAACAATTCTTTCCCCGACACAGAAACAGATTACAAGACATATATTTCTGATGATTATTTAGCTTACTTAAGATGTAAATATAATCAGTGACTTTAGGTTATACTACATATATATCACTTAAGATAATTTTCCTATTACACTTATTAAACATTTTATATATACCATCATCTTTCAGTGATGGTAGACTAGGTTATATAGGTCAATTCTACTGAGAGTATATAGAAAATCAGGAAAAACTATTTTAAATATATTTAAAATGTCAGAGAAATATAAAGGCAGTCAAGAACTATTTAAGATACAGGAAAAAGGGAAATTTGAAGAGAAGAATCTAAAATTTAAGGCAACTCTTTTTCAATAGTTATTAGCCAATTCCAAAAGAAACATCTGCATCTGAGAACATAAAGAATTAAGCAGAAATTTTGACAACCTCATAGGATTAGTGGGAGACTATTAGATCTTAGAGTCCAATAAGAAAGTTGAGCCTGGCCACACTGACCATCAAAGTCTTTGGTTAAAACTCGGAAAATGGTTATTTCCTAAACATAAGAGAATACTTCAAATTGTTTCAATTTCCATAAAGGAGAATGGGATGATCCCAGACTGCTTATTTTAGTCATGTTCCAGAAGTAAATGCATATTTCTTTTGGAAGAAATCAATATCAGCTCAGTTGTCAAATTATTGCATTAGTTTTTCATATGGAATATCTCATACTCAAAAAATGGCCAGGAACAAAAGGAGACACTACAATATTTTGAAAACCAACAGAAACCATGGACAATTTCTTAAAAACAGCAACAATAGAAAATTCATATCATACTTTAAAATCTAAATGAAATAGTTTTAAATATAACCATTTAAAATATAACAATGCTGACTATATTCAAGAAAATAATAATCAAATTTGGAAACTTCAGTAGAGAAGTGTAAACCATTTTTTAAAAATGAATGTTCTAGATCTGAAAGGTATTGATCTCTACTTCTCAAGCCACAAAGAACTTAGACATTGATTATGTAGAAGACTGTGAATAAACTATACAAAAATATTATCTGTGCACTGATTGCTTCCTGGTTCCTGTCTCCCACAGATCAAAATTCATGCCACAGCAAGTTTATCCCCTAAAACTTCAGAGTATTTTTCCATTTGTCTACTTCAACAGTCTTTGCAAAAGAAAATTCCCACACAACTTGACAATAGACCGAAGAAAGTTCAGACATTTTGTCTTCAGTTGGTATGTACAGCACTTGGGTTCATATTTCACTCAACCAATTAATCTGTTAGACCCCCATTCCTAGTCACTTGAATGAAAATGTTATATCCAGAATGTCTGTTCAGTGGGCTCATATCATTACATTCAGCTCAACCCAACTTTGCATTTTTTCCACATTGGTATTACATGATTCAGATCCAATCTGATATATATTCTTTAGGTTTCTGTTAATATAGTTTAGCAAAATCAGCCAACTCTTTTGGCTTCTGTTGTACTTCCTCATGGTTCACACTATGTACTTTACCCCCATTTGGGTCTGCTAGGATCTGAGTATAATTACAGGCCTAAAAGCAAGGAAACGGAGAGAAGATTCAAGTTGGCCACCGTGGAGAAACAGAACAGCACCTTTCTCCCTGAGCAAGGCAAAGAGTAGGGACCCAGCCATTGGTAGATGGAGACACTCTGAACAGTTTTGGATGGGTTAAGCACCCTGCACCCAGCAAAGGTCTCTTTGAACACATAGAGACTAGAAAGCAACAACAGATGCTAGAACTTGGGCACCCCATCTCCCACCCGCCAGGTTTGCACAAGAACAGAAGCACTACGCAGGGAATGAGAGGAGTGAGTGATCTTAAGACACTTTGGGTTGGCTCTCCAACTCACAGCTGTGCATGAGCTATTGGTCCCATGTAGGTGGTGGCCTGGTCAGGGAACAATGGCAGGTGGCCAAAGCCCAGCAGAATAGGAAACAAAACCCATGGTAGGACAGCCACTGCGAGCATGTTTTTTGCCAGAAAAGCCAAGCAGCCTGCTCCTAAGCCAGAAAAACTTGCCTGCAGATTGGACTTGGCTGGCACCTATGGTGAGTGACTGGTAGCCAGGCTTCCCACCAGATTGGAAGAATCACCTCCCAGTCCTGTATGCCCACAAGGTGGATGCCCC